TTAACAAGCAGAAAATTCCAAATCAAATACGACCCCCCCCCCCACTGTTGTGGGTCCCCTATGTGCGACGGGCACTGTGGTTCATGTCACCAGCTGTTGCGGGCTTAGAATTGCGTTATTGGTGGGGAAGGCTGCCGTGGCTGCGTTCCAATCCACCACCTTAACACAGCACATCTGCCGGAATGATATTAATTTTACGAGAGCGGGAACACCTAACTGAAAGTTCGAAAGTTCGAGTCAATTCCATGCGCTTGGAACCGATGTCCTTCCTTCAAATGCCCAGTTTGGTGGCGATCCAAAGTATGGGCAAACAATTGGTGGCTTTCCAATAGGAAGATCCTTGTTTTTCTTTTATTTCGTCATTCAAATTGTCCCATGCAAAAGGAGCTTTTAGATTCCTCTGATGCCGCCTTCTGTGTCGCCTCCCGATGGCGCCTCCTGTGCCGCCTCCTAGATCGCCTGAATCAGCAAGGTAAGCGTCTCGGGCTGGTCAGTCGAAAGTTTGTCAGTCCTATTCTCCAAATTGATCGGTATTTAGGCCCAGATGTTGTGATGTCTATATTCGACCAACGCATCTCGTTGTCGCATGCGGGTGTAAGTCCGCAATGGACGGATCAGTAAGTCTATTTCCCATCAGTGATTCTCTTGAAAGATTTTGATTCTCGTCGTGATACTGACCGGAGGTGGTGAGTGCTGTGGCTGCTACATGCGGTTCGGGAACAAGGTCTACATTAGATCTCACCCATGTCGACCAGACTTCCTTCCTTTGCATCAATCTTACAACTTGAGTCGATAAGCCGAAGTCAGACTTCTTCAGGAGGGCGCGAGCTTTGCCTTCTACTTTTAATTTCAGTAGCAAGCAGCCAGCATTAATTACAGACTTGTTCGCTGCGGATGATTGAAGCTTTTCAGGAAGATGGGTTTGTCGCGCCGTCAGCTTCTTCCCGACTAGATATGGTCGCCGTGTAGCTTCCATAATCGGTTCGGAACTGGCTGGTGCCGCGTCAAATCCATCCCAACCTCTGAAACACCTCCGCGTCCGTAGGAACAGGACTGTATATGAGCCTTGTGCGCACTTAAAGGCACGTTCCGCGACAAACTAAGGCTAGAACCTCATAAACGCGCATGATGATGAAGCAGGCAACAGTGGAGGATATGGTTCTTTTGAAAGGTGAAAAACAGTGAGCAGAACTCACGGCGCTCATGTTTTAGGCCAATTGGCGCCCCATCAGCCGCATGCGCCTCCAGTGACCGTGTCGTGTGACTGCCATTGCGCTCTCTCGCCCGTCATTTTCTGGCCTCTCTCGTCTCTTATCAGTGTCTCGCCGCCTTTTGCCATCCACAATTGATCTTGACCACCTTACGCTCGTCCGGTGATTGGAATAAAGAGGGTCTTGTTGCTACTTCATTTCTGGTTCCTTTTCTTCAATAAGTCTATAATACAGGGCAATTCTATTTGAAACTGTATTACCTATGAAGTGTGTCGCGGGTTCCCTTTAAGTGTGACTTACAACTTCAGCGAAACGTCGATGCGTTGCATATTCCGGGAATGTCACTCGCATTCAGCTTCATTCCTTTCGCGACATTTCCCTGCAGAACATGTCATTTTTGCAATTTGTCCTCAATCCCGTTTCACATCACAGTTGAATCCCTTTATTTGAGAACGCCCGACATTCGTGCTCTCTTCATTGGCGAGCTAATCGTCTGGACGGAGAAGAGGAGCGGCTCCCTAGTGAAAAGGAAAATATGTTGGGTGTCCCCACTCATGCCCTCAGCTCATTCAATCAAAAGTGAATGACTATTTCAGGCGACGAATTCTTGCTCAAATGCTTTGCTCAAAAATGATCTCACAAGCTGTTCTTTGTCGAAACACTTACCCTCTGGTATGTCATAAAAGATAGCAATTGAGGAGCTCACATACTTGACCGGAAGGAGGGTCAGCACTTCTCTGCGAGTCTTTATCTCTTCTGTAGCCAAGGTTGCACAACCTTAGGCTGCGTTATACTTTGCGGCACGCGTAGCGTAGCGCTTCCTAGCAGTAGCGCGCAGCGCGGTGCCGAAGAGAAGATGCAATTATCCGATCTAGTTCAACCACGATCACGCACGCGCAGCGCACGCTAGCGCACGCTGGCGTAGCGAGGGCACGGGAAGCATAGCTATCGATCTAGCTTCACCAGCGTTTCTCCAGCGTTTTCCCAGCGCTTCCAGCGGCGGGGCTAGAGAGGGGCTAGAGAGCACTGGACGGAGGAGAGTACAAAGTACTCTCCTCCGTTCAGTGCTCTCTAGCCCCTCTCTAGCCTCGTCGCTGCAAGGCTAGAGAGGGGCTAGAGAGCACTGAACGGAGGAGAGTACTTTGTACTCTCCTCCGTCCAGTGCTCTCTAGCCCCTCTCTAGCCCCGCCGCTGGAAGCGCTGGGAAAACGCTGGAGAAACGCTGGTGAAGCTAGATCGATAGCTATGCTTCCCATGCCCTCGCTACGCCAGCGTGCGCTAGCGTGCCAGCGTGCCGCTGGTGACGCTGGTGAAGCTAGATCGATATGCATCCTCTCTTCGGCACTGCCGCTGGCGTACGCTGGAAGCGCTACGCTACGCTGCGCTACGCTATAACGCTACGCTGCCGCAAAAGTATAAAACGCAGGCCTTAACGCGCAGACGAAATCTAGGCGATCAGAGTCGCGGGGGACTGTTTGCTCTGCAAGAGTAACCCGCGGCGACTGTGATCATCTGCGCTCTAAGCCTAAGCCTTGGCTGCAGAGGGGAAGAGATGCAAAGACGCTGTGGAGTGGTCCGACCATTATAACGATGAGACCACTGTAGCTTTCCAGGGGCATTTTTTCGTGCTTTTTCACCTGTAATGGTTTTCGATGATTTTTTGCATCTTTAGCAGATGTACCATTCATCAAGAACTCTTCGCACAAGAAGACGAGTAAAAGGACACTCGGGGAGCTTGGTAAGTGCCTTTAAGTACAGTACCCACCGCAAGTGTTCAAAAATTACGAAAAAAACGCCGATCCGCGTTTTTTTTCGTTTTTTCGTTATAGAGCTGTTCCTGTTGACTTTTTGTATAGATACCCATATATGATTAGAATCAGCTCGCCGAGCTGTATCCGAAGGGTATGCTCACATTCTACGACATTGGGTTTTGGCCGGCGCCATTTGGCGCCACTTGGCGACACCTTAGCAGCCACAACTTTTCTCAACAAGGTCTGTATAAACTTGCTTACTGGGGCTATTCAGTGCCCTGTTCACGAAAGTGGCATTCATTTCTAGCCGTGGCGCCATTTGGCGCCATTAGGTGCCGATTTGGCGCCCACTAGCGCACACTTTCCCAAAAAAATCCGTATATATTTGCGACAAGGGGTTTCTCGTGCCCTGATCACGAATGTATACAGTCCTCATCATTGCGGACCGGTGGGGCGTGCCAGCCACGTGCCAGCCAGAAGGAGTGCGCACACTGTTGAAGCCGTTCTCAGCCTTTTTTGTTGCAACGCGTATGCGACAAAAAGTGGTAGGAAACGAGTGATACGAAGGATATAATACAGTAATGCACTTGCCCGCTTCAAAAACTGGTGCAGAACGATTTTGCCAAACCGCACCAAAGCAGCCGCACTGCCACGCCCCACCGGTCCGCAATGATGAGGACTGTAATATTCATTCCCAGCATGGTGCCGTTGGTTCCATTTGGGCCAATTGGCGGCCACTCTATTTTTTCATCAAAATCTTTATAAACTCGCAGCCTGGTTTGTGGGATGGTCACGTGATCGTCTTTTGCAGAGCATACATAAATCACGTGAGCTTGCGGCTATGGTGAGCGCGGAGCCGCCAGCGCCGCAAGCTCACGTGATTTATGTATGCTGTGCAAAAAGACGATCACGTGACGGCATCGGCACCCATGCTGCGAGTTTATAAAGATTTTGGTGAAAAAAGTAGTGGAGCCAAATTGGCACCAAATGGCACAGAACGGCGCCATGGCTAGGAATGAATGTTACATTCGTGATCAGGGCACCGAGAAACCCCATTATGCAAGTTTATACAGATTTTTTTGGGAAAGGTCGTGTCGCCAAAGTGGCGCTAGTGGCGCCAAATCGGCACCTAATGGCGCCAAATGGCGCCACGGCTAGAAATGAATGCCACTTTTCGTGGGCACTGAATAGGCCACCAGTCAACGCAAGTTTAATATAGACCTTGTTGAGAAAAGTTGTGGCGCTAAGGTGTCGCAAAGTGGCGCCAAATGGCGCCGGCCAAAACCCAATGTCGTAGAATATGAGCATACCCTCGGATACAGCTCGGCGAGCTGATTCTAATCATATATGGGTATCTATAGTCAACAGGAACAGCTCTATAACGAAAAAAAAAAGCGCGGGATTGGAGTTTTCGTAATTTTTTTGAACACGATTAGCGCGTGGGTGCTGTACTTCTCAACAGGACACGTCATAGTGATGAGAAAAACTGACCAGCAGCGCCCTCCCAACTCCTTAAACCGCTGACTCGGCCCCATTAGCCTCGAAACGTCGCCTCATCCACCTCTTATTACAAGCCCCTCTCGGCAAGTCAAATACAACTCTCTCCCCAAAATAGGTGGCTTGCCACTGTGGGGAGGCGGTTGTATTGGCACTCCGAACTTCCATTGGCTGAGTAATTCTCTCAACCACGCCATGCCCTGTCCTCCAAGAAAACGGAGTGATTTTTTTCAGCAAATACCGTTGCTTACTCGCTGCCGATCACGTGTGATAAAGCACTAGAGGAAGGAATCATCGAGTAAGATAAACATATCTTTATCTTACTATCTCTCAATCTTTGAAAAGTATCTTCTTTTAAGGAGAGCTCGCACTTTTAGGCCGAATATCGTCGAACAGTGTCGGCCTCGGTTGGTAACACCAGAAACGAGTCCCGTGCACCCTTATGGCGCCACCTATCCAGCCAGCAACCATGACACTGAGACAACAGAAGGATCCCGTTTCAAAAGTTATCCCAAGTCAAGAGTTCGCCATCACATCTCCCTCCGACCAGATCTCTCAGTCCTACTGGTCTGGTTATGCTGTTGCTAGTCAACCTGACACTCAACAAGACTATTCTCAATGGCCCGGATATGCCTTTACTACCAATGCTACTCAGTCCGGGATTCAGCAGGACAATTCTCAATGGCTGGTATATGCCTTCCCCATTAATGCTAGTCATTCCGAGACTCAGCAGGACTATTCTCAGTGGCCCGGATATGCCATTCCCCCCAATGCTAGTCAGTCCGAAAATCAGCAGGAGTATCCTCAATGGCCCGAGTATGCCATTCCCAATAATGGTGGCCAGTCTGAAACTGAACCCAATTATTCTCTGTGGCCCGGATATGCCATCTATGGCGGTAGTAATCCAGCTGAGACTCAACAAGAAATCTCGTCACCCACGTACGTTTCCTCGACTCCTGCGATCGACTACACTTATTTTACAACTGTACCATACGATTCCTCCACTACACCTACAAGCTGCCATTCCACTGACTTCGATGGGCCGACCTGTTGGGCCTTCGTACAATACGCTCAATGGCCAATATCAGTCGCTATCAGGAACGGACACGGTAGAGTCGGGCCCGTCCGCAACTATAGGGAAATCGACATGTGAGTTATTGCTTCGCCATCCTTTTGACTCACTTCCAGGGAATTTTTCCTGTATATGTCATGGCAAGTGTATGATGAAATGGTCACAAACCCTCCCATATTAGGGGCTTCTCCTCTTGTGGGGCTCTGACTAAGATTTTTTGGTTTGCTTTTCGTTGTCGGCTAAATCGTAACCAGGGAGTCTAAATCGTCCTTAGAGGGCGGACAGTCTGTACGAACGTTCTCACTGAGCAGTCTATCAGTGGTAGGTTTGTGAGGAGGTATATGTAATGTACCTTCGTGCGCTATGTGCCTTGGGAGAGGCCAGTCTGAGATGCGCGTCAGCCCCTAATAACCCGCGATTTCGATCGGGGTAGCTTTGGGTTGAGTGTATCTCTTATCACATTCTTATTTTGCGCAAATGGTTCAAGGATGGTTCGCTCATTGGGGCTCCTTCCTTCCATGGAGGCAGCGGTTGAAGGCGTGTAGCTACTGCTATCATCATTGGTGAGAGGGTGTTTGGCCGCATCGTCCTCAACCCTTCCACCAATGACGCTGGCAGCATAACCCGCCCCCACCCATCGTGCCGACTGCCTTCAAAGAAGGTGACCATAGAGTCGACGCGAAATTGCAGACTGGCCTAAAGAAGCGCACAGCGCCGTACTTCTAATAAGGGAATGGTTTGAAGGGTAATGCTATGATACTGAAACAGTCGATGTATGTAACACCGATGAACACAGGAAAGCCCATATCCAGGAAGGTTTTCTGAAGGCGGTGGCGGTTCTGTATCTATGAACCGTTGCTAGTTAGGAGCAGATACAGGGGGGGGGGGGGGGCAAAAAAAGACACTTTGACCGAGGCACATATCAGTAAAGAATACGCAGCCCAGAGAGAAGACGTGGATACGAGTACCAGGGCGGAAGATACCCAAGATGTTCCTCGATAAGCAGGAGCAGGCTCTCGTCCATCACCTTCATGTACACCAAAATATGAAGCCATCTCCAATCGCAGCCGGACTGAAGAAGGCCTATGGAATTCACGTCACCTCCAAACAGCTGCGAAACTTCTTGTATGGAGTCACCCATGGACAGCTACCTGGGGACCGGCACTCTCGATCTGGAAGACCTCCAACATCGAGCAGCTCCAACAACGTCGCTATGGTCTAGGGTATCATCTTCTCTTGCAGTAGTCAAGGCGCGGGTTGGTGATATGGACCAGAAACCCTCTCGGTCCGGGGTCTCCGGAAAAAATATCGGCCTTCCTGGAATGGGAAGTCCGATATTTTTTTCCGGAGACCCTGGACCGAGAGTGAACGCTGGACTATTACATTGAATAACTCTAACTGGGGCTTGAAACTTCGTACTGTACAGGATCGAGCCAGCAGATGAATCGAAGAACTCTCGCCGACTTGGAATCGAGGAGCGTTGAAGTACCTGAAGAAGACGGAATAACCAAGTGGGCCATCTGACCTGAACCTCCTCGATTACAGGGCTCAAGCGGCCTGATGCCGTCCGCTATCTGCGATCTGTTAAAACTGAGCCTAAAAGATAATCGTAGTGTCCTCCATTAGCGCCAGCGCCGAGATTGAATGTCATATTCCGTAATCAGGATGTTGAATTACCCCTATATACAAGTTTTCAGCGGTGAGCGCGTCCAAACGGCATCAGCCGCTCGAGCGGAGCAACAGGGTGGTCTACAGTGGCGGAGAAATCAACGACCTCGCTGAACTCAGGCACCGAATCACGGTCGCGTGGCAGAATCTCTCGATGGCGTTCGTCCAGAAGGCTGTGGTGGAGTTTCGTGACGTGTACAATGTGTTGTTGAATTTGATGGTGGAAATGTCCAATCAGAGATTGATGAAATGTAACTTATTTCGCCTCGGAAGTTCGGGGAAGAAGGTGTCTTTTTTTCGCCCCCTTCCCTGTATAACAGACCACCTAGCCTACTTTTTCCTATACAGTCTTATTCGCTGCTGATGGGGCATGTCAGGGACGTGGGGTTGGTGCGGACGCCGCTCCCACAGGTTCTCCACCAATTGTGGAAGATGAAAAGGGACCACAACCGGTGGAAAACGGATTGGCGCCGCGCCAAATCCAGCCCCTCTGGCACGACCCAGCATCCACAGCCAACAAGACTGTACAAGTAATGTTTAGTGGTGCAAAGTAGCAGCTCTTCAAAGATACGCAGCAGCCACCCGTTCACAACTAAGGCTGCGTTTATACTTTGCGGCAGCGTAGCGTAGCGCTTCCAGCGTACGCCAGCGGCAGTGCCGGGGAGAGGATGCATATC